TATCCTGCACTGATCTGTTAAACAATAATGAAACTAACCCATTAATATGAATCTTACAGATAAAGAGGATGCCAAGAAGAACACTCTGGACAACAGAATGAGAAGCAGCATTAAAATGCAAAACAAACCATCAATCAAAACCTTTCCCACTTCCTCCAGAAATTTTGAAAACTCTTCTCCTTTCTCATCAGGTGAGAGACAAGGGAGAGAATAACAAGAACAAAGTCTTGAGCTGGAAAAATAGTGTATGTGCAACTCAAGGAAACATTACATGAGAAGTCAAGGGGGATAATATCCAAATTTTAAAAAAGTAGAAATAACCGGAAGTCGGCGGGAAGGAAAAGGTCCCTTGAATAGCCAAAATTGGCAGGCAATAACTTTCAGGAAGTTAAGAATGACTTCATTCAACCTCCAAGTAAGTGATTAGAAACATTTTTGGCTTCCTCAAGAATCCAAGAATTGGAAAAACCTCACAGACTGCCTAATGTGGGGAAAATAGAGGTTGCAGATCACAAGTGATTTCGCACAAGACGATCTACCCAGTGAAAAGCGATACAGATATTTGGAGTGCAGCTTAATGTTTACACAGAATAGCTCACTCATGATTCATGGAATGACCCATACCAGAGAGAAGCGCTACCAGTGCTCGCAATGTGGCAAAAGATTTAGCATACAGACTGAAATGGTGAGACACAAGAGCACTCACACAGGAAAGAAACCATATGAGTGCCCAGATTGTGGGAAAGGTTTCAGTTGGAATTCCCTCCTTGTGGAACATCAGAGGACTCACACAGGAGAGAAACCGTACGAGTGTCCTGATTGTGGGAAAGATTTCTCTCGGAAATCTGACCTGGTTAAACATCAGTGGACTCACACGGGAGAGAAACCATATAAATGTCCAGACTGTGGGAAGAGTTTCACTCAGAATTCCTACCTGATGATACACCAGAGGACTCACACAGGAGAGAAACCGTATCAGTGTTCAGACTGTGGGAAAGGTTTCAGTCAGAATTCTGACCTGGTGAAACATCAAAGGATTCACACAGGAGAGAAACCATTTAAATGTCATGATTGTGGGAAATGTTTCAGTCGAAATTCCTACCTGGCAAAACATGGGAGGGCTCACATGAGAGAGAAACCATATAAATGTGATTGTGGGAAAGTGTTTAGTTCCAATTCTGACCTGGTGAAACATCAGAGGACTCACACAGGAGAGAAACCATATAAATGTGATTGTGGGAAAATTTTCCAACGGAATTCTCACCTGGTGATACACCAGAGAACTCACACTGAGGACAAACGGTATCAGTGTTTGGATTGTGGGAAAAGCTTCATTCGGAATTCCAACTTGGTGTTTCACCAGAAGACTCACATGGGAGAGAAACTGTATGAGTGTGCAGAATGTCGAGAAAGTTTCAGTTGCAAATCTGAACTGGTGAAGCACCAGAAGACCCACAAAGTAGAAAAACCATATGAGTGCCAAGATTGTGGGAAAGGTTTCAGTTCAAATTCTCACCTGGTGGAACATCAGAGGATTCATACAGGATACAAACCTTATAAGTGTCCGGATTGTGGGAAGAGTTTCATTCAGAATTCCAAGCTGGTGAGACACCAGAGAACTCACACAGGAGAGAAACCATATGAATGTCTATATTGTGGGAAAAGTTTTAGTCAGCATTCCAACCTGGTGATACACGAGAGAACTCACACAGGAGAAAAACCATATCAGTGTCCAGATTGTGGAAAATGTTTCAGCCAAAATTCCTACCTGGTGAAACACCAGAGGAGTCATATGGGAGAGAAACCCTATGAATGTTCAGATTGTGGGAAAGATTTCACTCACAATTCCGACTTGGTTAAACATCAGAGGACTCACACAGGAGAAAAACCATATAAGTGTCCAGATTGTGGGAAAAGTTTCCGTCAGAGTTACTATCTGGTGATACATCAGAGGACTCACACAGGAGAGAAACCGTATGAATGCCAAGATTGTAGGAAAAGTTTCAGTTGCAATTCTTACCTGGTGGAACAT